TTAAAGGCGATGAATTGAAATGTTTCTCACCTTAAAGGCGATGAATTTAAAGGCGATGAATTGAAATGAGTCATGTAAAGGCAATGAATTGAAATGTTTCTCACCTTTAGTACTCAAAATAGGAAATGAAAATATTGAGAATGTCAGATATAAAGATGTCTTCATTAATATATCCGATGATATATTTATTTTCACTTGAGATGTTCTTATTACTTCAATTGTTGTCGGCACGTATCCATCATCTCTGGATAATATGTCTGCTCCATTATATTTTCAGCAAATGTCTATTTTGACATGAATAAATAATGTTGTTGAACTTATCAATAAGTGTATGATTTCATTAATGCATGGAAAAATGAAGACATATTTGAATTTTGATAGTTCATGCTCACTTCAAGGTAATATTGAGGCTTGATTCGATGAAATGCATATTAAAAAAACATTCTTGAACACCATTATGGCATCAGGGATATGAGATACTGAACCATAAATTTGTAATATAGGTTGAGGGTTCTTATTATGCTAATGAGAAACCGTGAAAAATCTTCTAATTTATGTTTTGGAGATGAAGGTTATATATCGAGCAAAAATATTGGCTAAAAGGTTTGATTTTAATTCCAAGGTTATCATTCATCTCACGGGATTTCATAATTCCTTTCAAACTTCAATGCAATCAATTTTTAATCGTCGTCTCATTTGCCACGATAATAAAGATAAGCCAATTACAATCCTTGCATTAAGTAGCATATATCTACCAAAAATTATTTTTACGCAAAGTCAATGATACGCTACCATGCCAAGAGTCAGCTCGAGGGGCCAGTTATACATTGTTATGTCACGGGTCACCTCAAGTAGTTAGTTGAATGTATTTTTGTGTAATTTAGAGGGACATGCTATCAACGCTACTGATAATATGGCATATAAAGATTTTTCTCCCAAAAACTATGATCCTTTTTGTATAGCGCCAACATATACGACTTTTCATTTTTGTAAAGCTTCATGGCTGTCAGAGTAGAATCCTAGAATTGTGATATTACATTATCTAAGTTGTACATATTGTTACACCTTATCTTTTATTTTAAATTTTCTTGCAATTTTTCATACGATCAATAAGCATTTTCCTATTTCATACAAAGTACAATTACATAATTAGATTTACAACATATAAACTGTACTATATATTTTTTTATTTTAAATAATTTCATGTTTCGTATCATCATAATAAAAATCAATTTTAAACAAGTTATTATTCTACTGTAGATGTACCTGTGCATCGCACGGGTATTACGTCTAGTTACTTTATATTTGATAAAAGTTATCAATAAAACTCATAAAATTTAATTAAAAAACTATTAAAAAAATCCCTAATCAATTCGTCCGTATGGGAGGTATATTATCCAACAAATGGAAACTATGTTAATTGATATCTAAATTATTTTGGTGGAATGTGGAAGAACATGTGGTGCTGCGATTGAGAAGAATCTGTGGGTAAGATGAGAGATGCGGGCAAAGTCCGACGTGAAAAAGTAGGAGACGTTGTAAGTAGGGCTGGGCACGGGCCGGGTCGGGACAGGTAATGCAAAATAAAATGGAATCGTCGGTTCCATTGTGCGGTTTGGTCCGGTCCGAGTATTGCAATTTTCAAAATAGGAACCGGACCTTACCCGGCCTGTTTGAAACGGGTCGGTCCGGTCCGGGTTTTACGGTTTCTATTCTCATGTCTTAAAATTAGTAAAAACTCATGAAGTTCCAAAAATCAATAACCAATAATATAGGACATTAGGAAGTTTCAAAATAACAACATAGTGGTGCACATGTAACACAAGCGACAAGTCCAATTCTCCATAATTTCAAGTATATAAGTTTCAAACAATTAAAGAAATTTCAAAAATATGCAACATAGCCAAAAAACATATTTTCTAACATTTGTATTTAAACATGTTGTCTAACATCACATATTAAAGTGATTGCTTTTTTTTTTAATTTAATTTTAAGTATTAGCCAAAGTTGACACATACATGGTGGGTGGTAAACACAATTTATATATTTTAAGAACAATATTATAAAAAAAATATAACAAAATCATTTTTATCAAATAATTAAATTCCATAGAAAGGAATAACTCAATAACAATAAATAGTAATAAGATATTTATGAAAAATTTAATCAATAATTTGAAAACAAAAGGATGTTACTACAACTCAATTTAAAATCCTACTTCTAGCAAAGGAAACAAAACTATTTCAAAACCAACTATCACAAAACTATTAATAAATTTATATACAACATACGGAGTATATAACGGGCCGGGCCGGGTACCCGTTATTTTTTAATTTTGGAACCGGTCCGGTTCTTTAAAAAAAATTACCCGACCCTACCCGGACCGTTTTATGGCAACAAAAAATGGAACCGGCCCGTTTTGGACCCGAACCGCCATTACCCGGACCGGACCGCGGTTCCAAGACCCGTTTGCCCACCCCTAGTTGTAAGGTTTTAATTAATCAATTTTATACGCAGTATTGAGAATATAAAATACTTTACCACCCTCTCCCAGGTAAAGTAGTTTACATGGTACAATGTAAAATGTTTTAAAATACTACCCTACAGTTTACATTAAATAATCGTACCAAACAATGTAAATTGTTTACATCCCTACACTTTGCAATAAAATGATTACTTTACACCTTAACAAACGCCCCCTAACTTCAACCTTACTGTTTCTTATTATTATAGAATTCAGCTCTCAAAATAAAAAATTATGTGTTTGGTAAAAAAGTTGGCCGATAAGCCTGATAACCCGAAAAACAAGGTCACGAAACAGGCTCTTAATTTTAAACGTGTTTTAAATCCTGTAAAATAAACATGAGCTTATGAACACAAGTCCTAATGCGCACTGTTTAGTAACCTATGAATTAAACATGTCCTTAGACTAGAGTATTGGATTGGTGATGCTCTTAAACACTCTTTTCATGCCATTTTATTACTATTTTGTCAATATACTTTTTGCAGAGATTGCAAATGTTATTTTATTACTCTGTATTATTTAGGGAAAAAATGGAAACTAATAATCCAATCTTTTAGCGACCTTTTTACAATAGTCCCACCTTATCGTAATTCAGGAATAATCTAACCTTTGCACTTCATCATCATTCGTTGATCCCTGACTGGTTGATGACCTACTATTCCAGGTTTTTTCATTTTCTTTGCAAATCATTCAACTATAAATCTCACCTTTTCACCATTGTTCTTCAAGCGGTCCCAGGTATCATTTTTCTTTTTTGTTCCTTAAACTTTTCCCTTTTTTATTTTTATCGTCTTGATTCTGATCTTTTATTTCCCTTTTTGGTCTTCTTATTCTTATTTTTATTTCTTTTCAAGATTTTTTCAAAGTTTATGTGTTTTATTTTTCCTTCTTTTTATTATTCCTGTTTATAATTTCATTTTCATTTTTATACTCCCTCCGTCCCAATATAAAAGGCACACTTTCCTTTTCGGTCCGTCCCAATATAAAAGGCACATTTCCCTTTTTGGCAAACAAAACAGTGCAAAGCAGTGCCAAACAGTGTCCAAACAGTGCCAAATAGTGTCTAAACAGTGCCAAACAGTGTTCAAACAGTGTTCACCCTTAAAATGTCTAGAAACGCAAATGTGCCTTTTATATTGGGACGGAGGGAGTATATTTTTTGGGATTAGTTTCCTTATAAAACATCTTTTTCTCACCGTACTAACTCTTTACTTTACTTTCTTTTTACTTACGCTTATTTATTTTCTTTTTCATTTTCTTACCTTTATTTCACCTCTAATATATTTTTTATAAAACAACCTCAAAATAGGAGTAAACTAATCCCTAAATGCAAAACTAAGACTATGTTATCTATCTTTCCAAAATAGGACTAAAGTACGGTCTATCTTCTTATTCTACATTTCTACCCTTACCATAAATTAATAGGATAATAAAACTTTATATTATAATAAAAATGAAAAATAAAAAAAGGATTTCGATTTATAAAAATATAGTAACAAAATAAAAACAAGGTAAAACTTTTTTTAATGATAAATAGTAATATAAAATAATTTAGGGAAAACTTTAAAAGTAATTTTTTTAAAGTAAATAAAACTAGATATAACACATTAAAAATATAAAATAATTGGAGGCCTTTCCCGCAGCCTCGCCACTCCCAGCAATGCCTACTCCGATCGGCGGAAAAAATGTCATTTTGTGTACACACTGCAATTTTTCTCTAAAAATATCAAAAATATGACATTTTTACTCTTTCAAATGCCAAAATTTTCTAAAAAATTGTTATCAAGATGCATTATTAACACATGTGGCATTTTCCCCGATGGTCGGAGCTGGTGGTGTTGGAAGGTTGTTGAAGCGACAACAAATGCCTGCATATTGTTTTTTACTTTTTATTTTTTAATTTTAAATTTTTGAGTTTTGTATTTTATAGTTTTCATTTTTCTAATGTTTTAGTTTTGTTAATTTTATTTAATGTTTATTTTTCATTTTTTTATTTTTTCAACATTTTTATTATAAATATGGTTATGTTATTACTTTTATGTTTTAATTATTAATGAAATATGAAATGCACTAAACAAAGTAAGGAAAGAATTGGAAAGCTAGTCCTATTTGAGAAATTATGAAATTATACTTAGATTCTTGCAATTGAAGATTCATTAAATACTATTTGAGGAATGTCCTCTATATTTTTCTCTTTTCTAAAACTTCAAAGAAAGATATAAACGAGTAACCCGAAAAAAAATTTATAAAAAGAGACTACAACGAATATGAATACATAAAAATGAAAGAAAAATTTTAGGGAAAAAAAATCATATGTTGGATTGTCGATAAGATTTGTAAAAGGTGAGATTTATGGTAGATTGATTTGCAAAGATAATGAAAAACCTGGAATAGCAGGTCATCAACCAATCAGGGACCAGCGAATGAAGATGGGGTGTAAAGGTTGGATTATTTCTGAATTACGATAAGGTGAGACTATTATAAAAAGACCGCTTAAAGTTTGGATAATTAGTTTCCATTTTCCCTATTATGTATTGTTATTATAAATATTGAAAACTGAAAAAATAACTTTTTACACTTATGTCCCGGCCCGATCTCTTCAGAACATCATAAGTCACTTATGTTGAATAATTGTTTGCTCCGAAGAAATTAACAACGGGCTACATAACAGCTACACAATAGGCACATATTCAGTATATACAGACTCCAATCCCAAAAACGAAGCACAAGTGATCTGCACATCAACACACAATCTGGAATGCACACTTATTATGATTTCCTCAAATGGGAATTCTGACTGATACTCTTCTTCACCCAAGCTCCTGATCGTGTTTTCTTGAAATGGTCTGTGAATAATTCATACCTTCAATGAAAAAGGAATATACTCCACAGTTAGACAGTATACATCAACACTAGCCCACAATCTTCATGTGGGCAACCACTGGCAACCGCATTCTCAAGTAGCATTATTTGTTGGTATAACAAATTACATATGCGACATTTGCAGAGTATATCATGCATAGATAGATAAATAAACTAGGAGAAAGGGATAAAATGACCAATGGACTTGACGCACGATGAAATATACACCGAAGTAAATCCAAGCCTAATTTAAATTGAAAGTTCAAAACAACTGAGGTTTGATTCACGATACTCGTGATCAAGATAGAGAATCAAATATAAATAGAAACCTGGGAGTGGGTGGGTCATGGCAACAACAATGCGAAAAAATGAAAGAAATTAAGAAATTCAAAAAAGAAGTATAAACCTTTCATATTCAAGTTTCTGAGTAACTATCCCATTCAGTAGAAGCTCTGAGCTATAAACTGTTTTTCCTGCATTTGCAAAGTGATGGCTGATTGTAATTAAATAGTAAATGTTTAAAGGTTACATGTAAGTACATGAATGTGTTACCCAACCTTTCTCAATGAAAGGTACACAGAGATCGTAGTCATCTTCACAAGATAAAATTAAAATACCATCGGTCGGTGTCAAATCCTTCATAGCAGATCTTCCCCATCTCTCAATGGGCTGAAAAAAAAAACATTTTTACACAGCATTAAAATGAATGGAAAATGACAAGCGTAAAGGGAAAATCATTGGAACAAAAATCAAGAGATTATGAGATAAATGTCTTCAGAGTGATACTATTTTTAGTCAATGCACTCTTCTAGACGCAGGTGCGGTACACCTAACTCAACTCAGCTATGCATGTTATACTCTATAAGTAAATGGATGGGAGAACTACATACCAAACCATGAACTGCCTTCACCAGACCAAATAATATTTCTCTACCAGGCTTAGTATTTGGGGTGATAAAGACTTTACAATCCTGCAAATTACAATGAAAAAATGATCTTATAGTTGCTTTGCCTGAATCATAACACAAATACTGTTTCATCCATACCTTTAAAAGTGGATGCTGACTGGCTCGTGCCAAAGAAACAGGCATGCTAAAGCCAAACTCTCTTTCCTTCTTGACATCTCTCAGTATATAATTCTTTTCATCTATAAGACAGCTAACTTGTCCACAACTCTCAAGCCATAAGTGTGTCACCACTGGTTTCCCAAGGGCAATAGCTTCCAGAATATTTCTTGTACGCACAAATTCATCTGTTACAAAATGAGTGGCGTCTGACATAGAGGATGCAAGAGAAGCTCCCAAGCGAGTTAATATCTTCAAGAAAAAACATGACATGGGCAATGTCAGTTCAGCACAATATTTCATGTCAGTTCAGCAGTATAAACTGTCACAAAATAGATCACATAAAGCTTACCTTCTTTTGCTGTCTTGTTATATCTTGATCTAGGTGGCGGCTGAACAAGACTCGAATACTTGTGATATCTCTCCGCCTTCTTGAATCTTTGACATTGGATTCCCCCAGTAGACCAACGCTATGCAAGGAATTAAGTTCTCTAATAAGAGATGATCCCAACATACTTTTCCGGCGTGAACACCTATGATACTCATCACCCACACATATAGGTGAAGCCTCAACCCTAGATGTCATACAACTAATCGGAGTATTAGTTGGAGAAGTTGATGTTCTAGACTGATGTTTTGGTGAGGCATCTACACCACCATTTGCTCTACTCGCATTTGTAGTTTTTCTGCACGGTACATCACTTTTTGTACTGCAGTTTTTAGAATCCTTTCCAGTGACTGTATTATTTGGAACTGAAATGCCACCACCATCAGCTGCACCACTACTAGGGGCCAAACGCCTTTTCTTTCTTGAACTCAAATACCGAGGAGCACTCCCATCAGTAATCGATTTGCTTGGCCTCATATTATACTGAGCATGATTTTCTTGTGCCAATGACGCCCGTGTTCCATGAGTTTTTATTCCTTTGAGATGGACCATCTGACCAATCATACAGGCAGATGAATCCATGTTTCCATCACATTGCTTGGCATTTTTAGAAATTTCTTCTGCTCTAGCAATCACCTGCTCTGCCTTCAGGGATTGTCGTGTGGCAGATCGAGTAGAGCGGGTTCCTTTCTTTGAGGAGCTCTGTCTCAGCTGTGCCTCATTATTTGCTCCACTTTTGAGAGAACTGTTTGCGGTGATAGATCCATCTTGGACCAAAGAACTACCATAGCACAATGATTGCACAACTTCAGCTGCCATTTGAGTATCAATACCAACATCTGTCATGTTAGGGTCATTATTGCCAGTTTTATCATCTGCTACATCGTCAAACATATTAATCAACTGCTTGTTTAGATCTTTGAAACAATTACCCCTGGTTTTTGGTTTTTCTGATTCAACATTTAATGTAATGCTTTTTAATTTCACATTAGAATCGGAGCAAGTAAGATCTTTCTTTTTGCAGGAGTCCGGAAGCTCTACTTCGCCTCCACAGTCACCGACTGCCTTATTATGTTCACTTTGAAGTCGTCTAGGCTTCCGTCGGGAGGAAGAAGTTTTTTTATCAGTTAAAAGATCCTTATTCTTTTGGAAAAACTCACCACCACCTTCATCCTCATAGTTGTTGTCCCAATCAAAGGTAGCACCTAATTTATGTGTGCTTCTAGAGCCTAGCACAGCCAAACTCTTTTTCCCTTTTGCACTTGGCACATGCTTTGTTTTTTCAGCCGAAGTCTTTCCGATGCCAATGTCCTCATCATCCACACCTCTATTAAACTTGAGAAACTTGTCAACGATATCAAGAGCTTCAGCCTGTGATGCGTCTCCGGGTTCTTGAGAATCAACATAACTTAACCCTGCCAATACATTTTCTGAAGCAAACATCTGATTCAAGTCTGCTACATCATCAGCACAATCATTTCTATCTACTAGATTTTCAATTTCATCTAAAGTATCCTCTGTGAAAAGTTTCCTCGCAGCTGAGCTACCAAGCATGCACCCATTTTCGTTCCCTAGAACTTCATCAAGTTCGACATTATCCGCCGAAACATGTGTGTTGTTAAAATTCCTCACACCATTTGATATACCCCCATGCACAGGTCCTGAAACACAATGCATTACAAACTGATGATGAAACGGTTTCTCTTTGAAACACATTTTGTTTAGTGACAACATATTAAGGATTCCTTATTTACACAGAACCAAGAAAACCAGATTATCTTAGTTCCCCAAATAACAGAGTACATTGTTTAAAGATTAACTTTTCACTATTTCAAAGGAGTGTTTGTGTTTGCCTCTATTTTTGAGAAATGATTTAAATTAGAAAAGTGGTTGATAGTAAATGTAGGTAGTGTTTAAAAACAAAAGTGATTTTAAAAAAGTGAGAGTTAAAGATTTGGTCAAAAAGAACCTTTATTGTAATTGAAAACGTGAAAAGCAATTTTAAGCACCCCTCCCGCTGCTTACATCTTTAGCTCAAAACTGCTTAAATTTAAGAAGCAAATGTTTATATTTTTAGCTTTTTTAAAAACAAAAAGCTGAATAGTGATTTTAAAATAAGAAAGTGGCGGCAACCAGTTATGGTATAGGTAATAGCGATCAGTCATGATAGTAGTGATTGACGGTGACAGCCTGCATTGGTGGTGACTTGCTGCAGTGGTACCCAGAAGTGGCAAAGGTTAGGAGCGGTGACAATTAGCAGAGATGATTCTCAGTTGCTCATAGACGTTGTTGGGGTTGAGGGTGCATTTGGAAATAAATATTTTGCACGATAATATGAAGGCTGAAGCGGTGTTTACATTATAGGCATGCTTTTACCCACTATGTTTACTTCAATTGCATTAGTAACCTAATGGTGTGATTAACAACAAAGGAAACATCCCCTTGATGTTATACTACGTAGTTTATAAATATTTACCTGCATGACACGTCTTGTTACTCAGAACATCTGATTCTACTCTCAAACATATGTCAACACCTTGAGCAACGCTGGTGTTTTGAAAGTTCAGCTGGGTCAAAGAAGTAGCATTATCATCTGATATCTCTTGAGTTTCACCCAAGATCTCAGTTCTATCACTCCCTTCATTACCACTATCACTCTTGGCTTCAGAGTTGCACTCGTCTAACACCTGAGTATGCATGTGCTCTACACTGTAATGGTCATAAACCACTTGCGTTTCACCGACATCCTCAACTACTTGGGTATCACCAGAAAAATCTAATACTTGGGTATCACCATAAAGATCAACTGGTTGAGTCTCAAAACCATCCCCATTTAGAAGCGGATCATCGTCATGCATTGTGTTTTGCATCATTAGCCACTTATCAGCCTCGCTTTGAATTTCACCACCTAATCAAGCAAGATCAACATATATGAGTATTTCAAGATTCAAATGTTACAAAGGGAAAGTATCTTGAGTCCATTGATTTGGTATTTTGAAACACTTAAATTATGAAAGTTCAGCAATATATACCTGCTGATTTACTCTACATCTAATGAGTGGGGATTCACTGGTGCCTTTTCACCAAATTTAGAAATGAGGGGGCAATAGCATGAGGAAATCAGACTTTATGTGCACACATAAAAGAATATAGAAAAAAGTAAGTGTTTCCCGCTGTGACTCCATTCGAAGAAAATGAAATCATTCATGTTATTAAAAACTATATTGAGCCTTTCGCAAGAACATACAAGTCTTTACATAACAATGGCTAATTTGTGATGTGAATGTCCTCTTTGTGTTCTTCATAATAACAGATTTAAAAAAGTACATCGATGCACTTTTCCCACTGTTCAGGGAAAATAAAATCACACCTTTCCATGAAAAATATAATCTTTACACGAATTTGAGTTCTTAAACAACATTATAGCTCAAAATGAAAGATGGTGGCACTAAGTGAATTTCTACTTTCAGACAAAAAAATGACATAATAATACATTTTAGGTTTCTATTCACAGTATAGAATACCCATTACTGGAAAATATGAATTTACTTTGTCCAACTCAGTATTCACTACAAGATTAATGTTCTAAGTATTCACTACAAGATTAACATTCTAAGTATTAATCGTTCATGGATGCACCCCCCCCCCCCCCCACCCACATTTCCTAACTAAAAATAATCTTTTTTCACAGCTACCTAAGATCTATGTAAAAACAATAGTTTTACTTCAATTTTATGTTCTTCAGTAACAACTTCAAATATGGGGGAACTCAACATGAGTTTCATCTCTTAAAGACCGAATTTTATCTTTCTCCATGTGCAGAATTTCAAAGAAAAATATTTTACGTTTCTATTCCCAGTACAGATTCCCATTCTTTAAAAATCCGGGTATGTTTTGTAACCAAAATTCACTTCTAATTATATTTTTCGTAAGCATCTCAACACTGAAACATAAGTCTAACACCCAAATTGCCACTAACACAATGAAGTTAGATGGCCAGTAAAATCTAAATAAGGGCGGAAAAAAACTAACATTTTGCGAAAGATTGATTATCATCAGGCTGTGTGTTATCATCAGCATCCGAAAAATTGGCGTTTGTCTCGTCCTCCTTGTTCTTCTTTCCCCCGGATTGAGTCATGTTAACTTCTACAATCCCCATATGAAGTATAACCATCGGAAATTCCCAGCAAAATAAATCCTATGGATCCCCAGTTTCATTATCTTCCACATGGAAGTAAAAGGAAACTAGTACAGCGTTCATGTAATTATCCCCAAATTAATATTATCAGTAAAAATATTGTTAAATCAAGACTCACTTGCAGGGCATTCAGGACGAACAAATGGAAAGAGTCAGAAAGCGATGCCGGAACGCTGAAAGGATTGATGAATTGGAGGGCAAGTTGAGAGTATTGCATAAGTTACGACTAAGAAATTGGAGGGAAATTTGTATCACTTTTACGCCGTCATCTTGCTCCCGACTCTGTCATTCATACCTTTTCACCCCATCTCCATGCCAAATTACCTGCTACGGCCTGATGTAAGGTACGCGGTTCGGACCGGAACACAAATCGAATCGAACCGTGGTTAACTCACTCTAAAATCTTTGTCACAACCGCGTAGTAGTGGTAAATTTGGAAGGTTTTTAGTTAGGTTAACTACTCCATAACTTTTCCTTCAACAAATTTATTTTCTACATATTCATTCAATTAATTCAATTTTTTCTTGTAATCCAGCACCGTTAATATATACTTAGCAAAAAATTATTCAAGAGAAGAGTAGCAAATTAGGATGTTTTTACTTGGACTGTAATTTGCTGGTCTGGTCTGGTCTGGTCTGATCTGGTCTGGTCTGGTCTGAACTGGTCTGGTCTGGTCTGGTAAGGTCTGGTTTTTTTGTATTTTTATAACTATCCAAGTCTGGTCTGGTCTGGTCTGGTCTGAACTGGTCTGGTCTGGTCTGGTCTGGTCTGGGACAAATTACAGTCCAAGTAAAAACATCCTTAGCCCTCGAACTAATTTAAAAGTGCAAATCACCTCTTATATAAGAAGCTTTGTCCGACCATCGTCATTTGGGGCGGTTCCCGGTGGAATTTTCTGATGAGTACAGTTCGGTGAGTATCATGTTTTAGACTATGATAACTGCGCAGTTAAATCGATATAACATTTTGAAATATGTTATACAACATTTTCCTCTAGTTGGAATATGTTATACAGCATTTTGGAATTTTCATTAGTTCATTTGCTTGCTTGACGTGATAATTTTGAAATATGCATCGATATAACATTTTGAAATAAGCATAACACTGGTACCCAGTGGCGGAGCTATGCCTAGGGGTAGGGGCTATGGCCCCTCCCATCATTTTATTTTTTATATTAGTATTACTCATTAGTAAAGCTTTTGTACTAGCAACCAGCAAGCAAACAAGGTTCGGTGAGTATCATGTTTTGGACTAATAAGAGCAAACAACATTTACAATGATAACCAAAACTCCAAAAGGATAACAACACCTGATTTGGACTAATAAAATTGTAATGATATATAGTTACAATAACTTTGAAGTACAATGAGTGTGTGGAATATGAGAGTTTTTAAATACGTAGTTATGTCTATCAAATGTGTATAAAGTGTGCATATTAATGTGTACTCATCAATTATCGTCATGTATTGAAATTAGAATATGGATTTCCCCGACTTCCCAATATCTAATCGTGTCATTGGGGAGGGAAATTATTTGAGGAAGCATGGGGTATACGCTATGAAGGTGGTAGGAGACGGATCTTTGTCGTTTCTCGTGGAGCATGTATGCTAGAGATGCTGCAAAAAAAAATATGCAGCTACACAGATTCCCTTGAGCCATTGTTTGTAAGTGCGGGTGAAATATCCCCTTCACGGTGGGGATTACTTTAGATTTTATTGCCCGAGATGTAATTGACCCTATTCGCACTAATTTGTCCCTTAAAGTCCATACTATTGAGTTGCTGAAGGAAAAGTATGGTTATACGGTTTCGTACTGACGTACATGGTTGGGCAAACAAAAGGCCATTGCTGAAATTTTTGGAGGTTGGGAGAAGTCTTATTCTGAATTTCCCCATTTCATGGAAGCGCTCCAACATTCCAATCCGGTGACAATTGTGCACTGGTACCCACCCCTTACAGGCCCCACTGAGTGTGTCCATTTTTATAGAGTCTTTTGAGCATTCGAGTCTTCTATTTATGGTTTAAGCATTGTCGACCAGTATTGACTATTGATGGCACACACTTGTATGAGAAATACAACGGTACATTACTCATGGTTATGGGTAGCGATGCAAACAACCAACTCTTTCCTGTGGCCTTTGTAGTATGTGAATCGGGAAAGTCAAATGCATCTATCACAATTAGGTTTAAACTTGTAAATAATTACAAATTTACCCGGTTGTAAATATATAATGGGGTTTATCGTAAAATTTGCCCTAGCTAGATTACACAAAAAACCGATTGACAAAGCAGCTATCAGTATATTTATTTGATGGTTTTTTTAATTACATATATAATATTGGTGTCCTTTGAAAGATCGTGAAAAACTATTTAATTTGATATACTTTTTGTAAAAATTAGATGAAAAATAAAATAATTATAGCAATTTCTAAATTAAAGTTGAATGTAGATAATCTAATTTCCCTTTATGATCTCTAGTGTTTAATTTTTAGGAGACTTTTAAATAAAATCAACTGAAACAATATGCAACAATATGCGTCTCCCTCTATAGGATTTTCGCATATTACGAGTAGTTTTTGCCGCCGTGGGGTTTTAAGTGTCGATCGAAGTTTCGTCGGCATAGACAAAGCAAGCATCGGTCATCTCCCCTAGATTTAGGGGTTGTTTTCTCCGCTTTCGTCTTCGACGAAATGCGGCTTTCTTGTGCGGCTTTCGTTCGACTTTCGTGAGACTCTCTTCTTCGGCTGACTACGCGCTTATATGGTGGTCAAAGGTTGTGTACCCCTAGCAGCAGATGAAGAGTTTCGAGGATGTCGTTCATGGTTGAGATTAGAAGATCATGGACGAATTACGAAGCGTGGGGCTAGGTGCTCGAACAGATATGGACTGGAGGCAAGGAGCAAAAGAAGCTACAGTAATGTTGGACCGTCCCCCTCCTGTACCGCCACCATGGAGTTCTGGAGAATTTAGGGTTTGAAAGCAGTTTTTTAATTTTACTGCTTGCTTGCTTTTTAATTTTCATGATCAGTATGTTTATTAATCTGTTGGTTACTTTTATTGGTGTAAGACTCTTGCATTAGGATTGGGTGATGGGAGATCTGCTTTAACCGTCATTTGCTCATTTATGCTCATTATAGGATCAGCGAGTTATATTGTTTTTTTGGAAGTGATTGACTCTAAGTCTGGTTCGAGGCCTGACGGTTACCTGTGGTCCTTTTGTCGTTTTATCCCTATCAGAATGCTATACTAGTAATATAAGTCATCCTGTTTTGACGATAAAAAAAAATTAAAGCAAAAAATCACGTTTGGTGCACCTGGTAAAATATATCGTACACCCGGTTGTACGGTCCTCACCGTACAGCCGGGTATTTTTGTAATTAAATGCAAATGTGAGCCTGATTATACTACTCCGCACATCTTATTTCTTTCGCACATCGAAGGATCAGGAAGCAGAGACGAAATCGGTCCAAATTGAAAGCCGGCAAAGATACTCTCATCCTTCGAGAGCTGGAACATCGAGAGAATGGAAATCGCTTTCGAAGCTAACTGTTAACTCCGATAAGTTTGAATCCAGGTTGCACGGAGAGTTTCGATTTCAAAATTACTGCAGCCGATAGAGCCTGAGCCATCAAAGACTGCACCAACCCTGTTCGGCACTTCGGCGATTTTGCTTTGGAAGAATAACCCTGATTTGCCACACACAGCTTCTGTATCACCCGGTTGCTTTGGAGTAGGATAAGCCTGGTTTGCCACACAGCGCATGTATCAGCAGTCGAAGGGTGTAGGGAACAAGATTGAAGTCCCTCAAGGACAACTCATTTGAATCCATCTTTTGAAAGGAATTATTTTTTGGAAGAAGAAATGAGCATTTAAAAATAAACATATGAGCACATTAAAGATTTCTAATGATTATTTTTTTAATGGTTTGAATGCTCATATTGTAAATAATGTATGCTCATTTAGTATTGATATTATGCTCATTTTAAAATTTCATATGAATGCATACACAATTGTCTTGATGCTCAACAAAAAAAAACTTATTATTTTCATGTCAATGCTCATTTTTGAAGTTGTGTATGATCAACTAATACTCATATTATGTTCATTTTTAAATTGTCATACTGATATGAGCATACACAAATTGATATTTGAGCATACTAGAGATTTTCAATGTGCTTTTTAAATTTGTTGATGCTCATTTCGTAAGTTATTTGTGCTCATTTATTATTGGTGTAATGCTCATTTTAAAATGAGTATTACACCACACATTTCAAAATTTCATATTTATGCATATTGGTGTAATGCTACTTTTTAATTTTTCGATGCTCATTTCATACATTACATATTCTCATTTAATATTTGAGCATAATGGAGATTTTAAATAAGCTTTTTGAATTTTTCGATTCTCATTTCGTAAATATGTATGCTCAATTGATATTGGTGTCATGTTCATTAAGTAAGTTACATATGCTCATTTGGTATTGACGTTATGCTCATTTATAAGATGACATATCAATGAATATTTTACCATTACATTAGATTTGCATATTGAAATTCATATGAATTGTGTATAAAATAATTTAATAGGTTTGATGCTCATTAAGAGTTTATTAATGCTCATTCAACAGAAATCGTAATTTTCATCTCAATAGCAGATGTTTGATACTCAACGAAAATGTCGTAATGCCCAACTAACAAATCTTACGATTTTCATTTCAATGCGCACTTTGTAAGTTATGTATGTTCATTTAGTATCAAACCTTACGTTATTCTCATTTTTAAAATGACATATCAACGCTGATGAAATTAACGCTCAATATAACAGATTTGATGCTCATTAAAAGTGCATTAATGCTCATTTAACAGAAATCGTGATTTTCATCCCAATAGAGAAGATTTGATTCTCAATGAAAATGTTGTGATTTTAAATACTAAACAAACCTTACAATTTTCATATCAATGAGCATTTTGTAAGTTATGTATGCTCATTCTGTACTAATATTACGCTCATCTTCAAAATGTCATATAAATGCATATTTTAAAAGTATCATATTACATTAAATTCACATATTAAAATTCATATGAGTGAATTATAGATATAATTTAATAAGTTTTTATAAAAGCAAAAATAAGAATAAAAATTGAATTAGAAGATATGAAGCAGAGATTGTGATACTCATTATTAGCCTCCTAATACTCAATAAAATAGGTCAGATACTCATTAAAAGTACACTAATGCTCAAAAAACAGAGTTGCGATTTTCAAATCAATAAATCCTTCAAAGTATCATATTAAATTATATTTTCATATTGAAATTCACAAGAGTTTATTGTAAATATAATTTAAGAAATTTTATCAAACAAAAAATTAAGAAAAGAAG